ACCCCCCAAGTGGCTACTATGGCTGGCACACTGCGCTGATCCGATGGCAGGAGCCAGGTGCTTCTCCTGGTCTCCCATGGGGTGCAGGGCCCAAGCACTTGGGTCATCCTCCACTGCACTCCTGGGCCACAGCAGAGAGCTGGACTGGAAGAGGAGCAACTGGGACAGAATCCATTGCCCCAACTGGGACTAGAACCCGGGGTGCTGGCACCGCAGGCGGAGGATTAGCCAAGTGAGCCGCAGCGCTGGCCTGCCCCAGTCTTTAAGTACTTCTCTAACTCCCTATTTTTTTCCCTGCTCAACAGGCTACGTTAACTTCTGCTGTCATGCAATGGCAACTTTCCCCTGAAAATACACACTACGTTCTCTTCAGCTTGATTTCTCTAAGAGGTTAACATTTTTAAATTTTAGCAATGCTAACAACAAGCACAAGAGTCAATTTCCTTTTCCTCAAATTTCATTCCCACCCTTCATTTATTCTTCTGTTTCACTCGGTCGTAATTGCTAAGAAATTCCCTCCTCTGGCCTCATTCACTTCAGCTCTCTCGCTCTCTATTTATATTCTCCGACAGCTCCCCACTCCTCACCCCTTCCACAGTTTACCTCGACATATCTTTTCAACCACTTCTTCCACAACTCAGCCCAGGGAGACCCTCCTCCAGATCGGTCTCATTGTTCCCAGATGCGAGTATGTGGAGCGCTCTCAAGCCCCCACGGCCTGGCACTCACCCTGCGCCCCCCTACAAGCGTCTCCCCATCCTCTGTAGACACGTCAGGCTGCACCCATGCCTTGCACGTGGTTGGACAGAGCTAGGCGTTCTCTGTTCTCGTTCCTCGTGCTGTGCTGCCGCTCCTCAACACACTCCCCAGCATTCCCACCTCACTCTTCCCTCAGCCTGGTCTCCACCTTGCTTTCGCTCCTGCTGCCTGGGAAGGGATTCTTCCTTGGCTACTGCCTTCCCTGATCTCCATGAGCATCCTAAAATACCTGGGTGATGTTTTCAATTCTACACTCCTATCTCCCGGGCCAGTAATAGAACGGGTCTCCGGAAGGGATAGACACTTAGTTATGGAATGGAAGAGATGTTTCCTTCCCTATTCAAAGCAGCCCTTCTAACTAATTAAAGAACTATGTCAAAACAGTTCCCAAGAAGAACCCATATGTCAGCCAAAGAATTAAATATTTTGAAAATGAGAAGAACTACTCAGTCCATTTCTCAATAGAGACTGAGAACAAAAGAAATGACAAGACACAGGAGAGAAATCAGAATTCAAGCTGAAACGATTACAGAAACCTGTGGTTATAGTAAAGGGGAAAATATTTAAGCTTGGAGCTCTGATGAAGTCAAAAGCCATGATGTAGATGCCCACGATTTCTACCACATTTCTCACATTTGCCATCAGCTTTTGATGAAAGCCAAACTCCCAGAAGGGAACTGGGACAGGAAAAGGTCAGGAAACTTTAAGGGAGACGGGGAATGGTAGAAAGAAGGCTTTGGCATGAAACAAGTTAATTCTTCAATCTAGCAGGCTTACAAAACACTGGGCAAAATCAAAAACAATGGAACAGCGTGCACCTGAAGCTACCAGTGCATTGTGGGAACAGACTCCGTCGGCTACAGTGCTCTCTGAATGCAGGTGATTCATTTCCGTTTGGCAGAAGCAGCACAACTGCCTCTTGCCCATCCCTGGGTGGCGAATGGTGTTGACTGTGGCCCACTACCTCTCCCAAACCTACAATGACAAGAGTAGTGCGGGAAAAACAGAACGTGGAGAACTTAATTCTCCTAAATCCGTGTCCCCCCACGGTGGGAGCTGAGCTCTCATAGCTCACACGGTAGAAATGAGAGGCCTGCGGCAGAATGCTGTTTCACCTTGGCTGTCTGCCTCAAGGGTCAGGCACACACGGTGTGCACAGAAGCACAACAGCTACCAGCTCGTGTGGATGCCCACTTTGGAGTCCTCAGAATGTTCCCTTCTCCTCAGCCCACTGTGTTTGTAGTCTGAGCAGTAAGAGACTGGAGAGAGATCTACAGACGGTCCTGGGTCTCCCAGAGACCAGAGGGCTGCAGTTGGATTCCCTCACCCTGCTTCAGCCTTTGGGTGACATTCAGCAACAGCCAGAAGTCCCTCCCCACTGATTCACTCAACAAATACTTGCTGACACTCTGCCACAGTTGAAACTGGGGGTGTCAATATGAGGAAGACAAATCAGCCAGACACACACACGTTCTCTAAGCATCACACATGCACGAGACCACCAGTCAGGTTTCTCGCTGTGGGCACGCAGTATTAATGTCCTCTACTCCTTTTTGGTCTCAAAGCACTACTGTCCAGCTCACCATCTGACAAAGCACAAGAAAAGAATTCTCTTATGGTACAGCTTGTGATATAATGGACTACATCGTGTGAAATAATAGATCATATGATGTGATGGGATACACAACCCTACACAGGAGCGACAAGAGTGGGTATGCTGTCAGCGGAGTCTCGGCAGGAGCTGGCCTGGTGGACAATGGACCACAAAGAGGAATAAGAGGAAATCACAGTCTAATGGATTTGCATTTCGAAAAACAGAATACAGATTTTCTCAAACCTCAACTCATTAATAAGAGAAAAGATCATGTTAATTTAAATGGGAATTACCCACTACTTGCTTTGCTTTGCTTATTTAAAAAAAATAAACAGGTACAGGAAGAAAAAATTGGGGGCAAAGCAAAGAAATTAATTTCTATGAACCATCAAATGCAAGAGAAATTCTAAATATCTGCCAAAAACAAGGCTAAGTGAACTATTTTTGAAGCAACAAAAAAAGACCCTTGGGCGAGAAATTTTGCAGTCATCTTCTTTTTAGGTCGGTACTCTCTTAAAATGAGACAAAGAAAAATCTGGACCTGGAATAAGAGAAAGACACTAGGAATCCACTCAGCACCCTGACAGATGTGTGGGACCAAAAGATGAGCACCAGGGAAAGTGGACGTCAGAGGGGGAGGACGGAGGGGATAAATGTAAAACCACGACTCCAGAATAAAGGGCGGTGCATCTGCCCAGCACCCACGAGTTTAGGTTAGGTAGAAGAGAAGTAAGAAATCATCAGATACGACAAAGGAAATGAACCATTTTTCATGTTTCTCTACAAGAAAACATTCAGTATACTTCACAAAAATTAAATTTGATATCTTAATGTACCTGAATAAGCAGTAAATGGATTTAAAAATTCCTAATGCCCATCATTCGCTACAACACAGAGCTGGGGGGATAGGATAAGGCATGCTTCCACATGAAATAAATGACTTGTTTCGGCTTTCTTTTATTAGACATCAGTGGAGGGCACCCTACACGTCTGTAAACAGATTCCAAGAGCGCCTGTTGTGTGTGTCCACTGGAAGGAATGGAAAGTCGTCATGAAGAAAGGCTCTTCTGCAGGGCACGCGTGTCATTCACGCCACTGGACTGGAGGGAACGGTTGCCGCGCTGACCTGAGAGGGGCGCTGTTGGCACACGAGAGCCCAGCACACGCATGAGCTCATCCGCCAGCCTCAGCAAGCCCCGCTTCCAGCCAGAAGCAGTCGTGTTGCAGCACCTCCGAGTCCACGACGCTGACAAGCTCAACAACTTGTTTTGTCTCTGGGAGCTCTTCTCTGGTGATTAACTGCTTCTGGTGAATACTAATTGTAGGAAGTGCAGTGTGGAGGAAGTCGTCTCCTGGCGTCTCTACCTGCAGCCTCGACTCTTTGGATGGAGGAGGTACTAGGTGGAGCCACTGCAAACCAGAACCCAGCAAGACCACTCTCCTCCCACAGGGGAAGGAATTATCTCCTCCTTTTGAGTAGGGCGCAGCTTTCTGACAAGAAACCCCCTTTAATCTCTGGGTTCCGCTCCAAACAGAAGCACGAGAAAGTGGGTGTTGTAAAGCCTTCTAATAGTCACAGAGACAAATCTGCAACAGGAGTCTGTGAATTAGGGACCGATCAGTGTCCTCAATTCCCCACATTGTCAGTTCTTAGGAACTGCACCTCAGATTAAAATCTTCTCACTAGGGAGTCTATGAGAATTTGTTCTTGTGTTTTAGATTCTAAGTGCTTGTTAAACCACCAGTGCTGCAAAATTAGAGACCATTAAACAATATAAGGCAGCAAGTGATTAAATCTACCAAACACACATTGGAAGCAGCTTAAGCTACTTTTTAATTAAAAATAAAATATCATTGGCTAAACTCAGATGTCTTAGAAAAAGTTAGAAGGCTGTTCCAAATGCAGAGTGCTGCTGAGAAAGCCACAGGGGCCAGGGGGTGGGCTGGCCAGGGGGCTCCGCCTGGCCACCATGCCGAGCCCAGCGTGCCTCGGGGTTGACCCAGTTCAGGCAGTGGACAGTGTGTGGGAGGGCGAGGACGCTGGGCGGCTGCTGATGAAATGAGCAGCATGGGCCATGGCCTCCAAGGAGACAGGGCGTTCCAGCTTCCTGGCAGGGGGATGAGCTGAGGAACCGCCCGGCACGAAGCTGAGGCGGCCGCAATGTATAGGTGTCCAGGGGAGACGTTAGCGCTATTTTTACACAAAGCTTAAGCTCCCTGATAAACATTTCTTGAAATAATTATTAGCTTTTGGGGAAGGAAGCGTGGGGGCTCCTGAGTTAATGGGGTCACTGGAGATTGAAGGGACTTCTTACTGGTAAGTTTGAAGCAAATACCCAGTGCAGCTTTAAGTTGTCTCTACTTGTCTCAGTGTGGAGGGGCGAAAGGGCTTGGGGGCCCAGTTGGCTGCAGGCAGTAGGCCAGGGCTCACGGGCAGACTGCAGCCTGGGGGACACTGCTCACGCTCAGTCTTGATCCCCTTGACGCAGCACAAGAAAATTTACTGGGAAAAGCCTTCCCTCACCCACAGTTTCCTTATTCTAACTCTTACTTTCTCTCTCTCTCTCGAGAATATTTTTCCAAATATGCATTCTGCCTTCTGTGTCGATGTGATGAACTGACTTTGAGCTTTCAGACGCGGTCTTACCTAAAAAGCTCGCCCTGAAGTACAGCACAGGCACTTGGAAGCTACAGGAATATAAGACGTGATACTCGTATCGTATCACCCGCGACACTGCTGGCACCTCGGCAGCTTCGGCATCGTCCAAGGCCAGCTCCGCAGCTTCCTGGAAAAAAGCAAAATCAAAATGGTTTTTTTTTTTTTCAGCCAAAAATGTACTAACTCAGAGATGGGAAAATTATATTTTCTTCTTGCAAAGTAACAGTTAAATAAATACTGGGCTATGAGGTAAGGAAAAGGGAGTTTCCCATATTAATGTTTAACATTTGAGTCTTGGGTAAATACTAAAACCAGAAAACATTAGCATTAAGTAATTCCAGATTGTTTTTGAGAAGACAAAGCAGCTCTGGCCAGAGAAACAGGAAGGGGGAAGAAAAGCAAAAAGATCTATTGCAACAGCAACTCTGAAAAATCTTTACTGTACAATTTTAGCAACAAGATGATGGCTGTGCATGCTACCTCCTCCCCTACCTGGGAAAGCTAAAAACATCCTAACAGTTGAACAAGAGCCTGTGAAACGTCCCTAAAGATTCTATTGTACTTGCCAAGAGATGATTCATTGTGTGCGGAACAATTCCCACTTCCATTTTGAATAAGAAAGCCATTCTGCAAAAGGTTGAGTTTGTTAGGTTATTTCAAACCCGGAGAAGCTTCTGTTTTCTCTGGTACATTTCCACAATAAATTCTGAGTTATTGCAAAAGTAGATGGCAAATATCAACGTCAAGTTAAACAGGGTTTTATAAGCAGAGATGGTGATAGTCCCATCACTTCTCACCTAATCCTTCTTCATGGTTGACTTTTCTGTGTGTGGGGAGGGCCGCTTATGCCTGCAGCTCAGTGTTCAGAGCACTTGGACACACTGAGTCACAGTCTGGTTCCATCCACATTCACGAATTTATATGCATTGAACAATTTCCTTTGGCATCGAATTAGCAGAAGGAATTAAGCAGGTTGGTTTGGTTCATTTCTACCTCAAAACAGTAATGATGACAGCAAAGAATCAAGAAGAACACTGGAAAAACTTCCAACTTCCTCCATAAGAAGCAAGGCTTCCGATGGAAATAAGCTAAGGCCCAGATCCACATCTCTGTCTGTACTGATTCCCCACCCACAGCCAGTCCTCTGGGGAGATAGTTCAGTGGACCAATCATGACTGCAAATATTAACCAAAATACTGTCACTCAGCCCCAGTAAGGACTATCAATTAAACACAATGAATTAAATAACCAGGAAGAAGTCACTGGAATAAATATTCCAGATACAGAAAATCGATAAGACAGAAAGAAAGACTTTTTCTGTTTTTCAATAGATATGAGTCCATATATTGTTAAGCAGCTCTTTTAACTGAATCTTTCGTTTTAGTCAACAATTACGTTACTTAGCATTTAATTTTTCTTTCTTAACATTATAAAATAATTATATCTTGGTGATAAAAAACAGAATTACAAACACGGCACAAGTACACAGAATAGAAACTGAGATGCTCCCCTCAGTCCCAGCATCCTCTCCCTCAGATTTGTAGCTATTTTTAACAGACCAGTGTTTACTTTTCCAGACTTTTATATTTTCTGGCACGCAAACATATACATACACATACACACCTCCTCCTCATGCTCCCCTGCTTGCATTAAATCATACAAAACATGAAGGGACTTCAAAATGTTTGGGGGAAAATGGAATTAAAAGATAAGCTTATGGCTGGCGCCATGGCTCACTAGGCTAATCCTCTGCCTGCGGCGCCGGCACACCGGGTTCTAGTCCCGGTCGGGGCGCCGAATTCTGTCCTGGTTGCCCCTCTTCCAGGCCAGCTCTCTGCTGTGGCCCAGGAGTGCAGTGGAGGATGGCCCAGGTGCTTGGGCCCTGCACCCCATGGGAGACCAGGAGAAGCACCTGGCTCCTGGCTTCGGATAAGCGCGGCGCGCCGGCCGCAGCGCGCTGGCCGCGGCGGCCATTGGAGGGTGAACCAACGGCAAAGGAAGACCTTTCTCTCTCTTTCTCTCTCTCTCTCTCTCACTGTCTAACTCTGCCTGTCAAAAAAAAAAAAAAAAAAAAGATAAGTTTATTTGGTACAAAAAGCTTCTCTGAAATCCATGTGTAGTTTTTTGATAGTTTGCATTTTCCATGAGCTTGTTGAAGCTCCCTTCAGGCCATCCCACCCCAGGGAGCCCCCTCTGTTAGGGTCTTCACTATATTATCCCACTGTGTGACTCGGCTGTCATCTTTTGATCACATTCCCAAATGGCTAGATATTCTTGGTTGATTATAATTTCCTGCTACTACAAATCATCCTGCAATGGATCTCTTAACACACCCTTGCATACACTCAATTCTGTTTTTCTATGGCACAGCTGCCTAAAGGCAGAACCACTGTACCAAAGGATATGTGCATTTTAAATGCAAGAGACGGAGGTAGGCATTTGGAATAGTGATTAAGAGTTCACTCGGGATACCCACAGGACGTATCTGAGTGCCTGGGTTCAAGTTCTGTCTCCACTAGGCTCCCAACTTTGGCCTGGCCCAGCTGCACCTTTTGCAGGTGTTTGAGGAGTGACCCAGAGATGGAAGATCTCCATCTTTCTATCTGTCACTCTTTCAAACAAATGAACACATTTTTAATAGTATAAAATGTTAAATTCCCTTATTATACACCGAAACATGTTTTTAAATTAACACTTAGATCATTAATTCATTTGAATCTTGTTTTTGTGTACAGTGTGATGTAGGAATTTTTCCTAGATGATTTCTAATGGTCCATCTTTTCCCCATTGATTTTAAAAGTTATTATTACCATAAATTAGGGATATGTGTTTATTCTCTATTGGGCTGTTTCTCTTCTTGGACCATCACTGTGCAGTTCTTTTTTTTTTTTTTGACAGGCAGAGTTAGACAGTGAGAGAGAGCGAACGAGAAAGGTCTTCCTTTTTCCGTTGGTTCACCCCCCAAATGGCTGCCATGGCTGGCGCGCTGCACTGATATGAAGCCAGGAGCCAGGTGGTTCCTCCAGGTCTCACACGCGGGTGCAGGACCCAAGCACTTGGGCCATCCTCCACCGCCTTCCCGGGCCACAGCAGAGAGCTGGCCTGGAAGAGGAGCAACCGGGACAGAATCCATTGCCCCAACTGGGACTAGAACCCGGTGTGCCGGCACCACAGGTGGAGGATTAGCCAAGTGAGCCGCGACGCTGGCCCACTGTGCAGTTCTTAAGTGCATACTGAATCTAAGGAACTGGGTCACCAATTTCTGCAGAAAATTGAGACCCAGTCTTGCCAGGGAGAATATGATTTTTTGCAAAGAATGTTTTCCACACAAACTCAAATTAAAAACCCAAGAATGTGCAGAGGTTGACACCACAGACTTGTAACTGGTGTTCAACTAAGCATGGATCCAGACTCTGAAGTAGTCAGGAGGCTCAAAAGTAGGGGAGGAGGGCAGACCAAGCTTCTTCAAGAGTTTGCTAGGGGCTGGCGCTGTGGCATAGCGAGTAAAGCTGCCGCCTGCGGTGCCAGCATCCCATATGGGCGCCAGTTCAAGTCCCAGCTACTCTACTTCTAATCCAGCTCTCTGCTGTGGCCTGGGAAAGCAGTAGAAGATGGCCCAAGTCCTTGGGCCCCTGCAACCTTGTGGGAAGACCCAGAGGAAGCTCCTGGCTCCTGGCTTTGGAAAGCGCAGCTCTGGCCATCGTGGCCAATTGGGGAGCCAACTAGTTGGTAGAAGACTTGTCTCTCTCTGCCTCTCCTTCTCTAACTCTTTCAAATAAAATAAATGAGGTGGGGGAGAGGGAGGAGGAGGGAGGGGGGGATGGAGGGAGAGAGAGAAAGCAGTCCAGTCACTGCTTCCACTGACAGCTGAGTACCTCTGTGGGATGTGGGACCTGAAGGGCAGGAGTACTTCTCCTGTAAATGGGACTGCTCCTGCGACACCCAGTCTTATGCTAGGCAGCCGCCGGTGCAGAAAGGCATTTTTGCAGCCTTCACGTGGATTACGTGAGTATGAATCCCCGGCTTGTGTCTGCTGAGATCGTCCCATCGTTCCAAGTCACCTTTACGATACCCACGCAAACGTTCCCCTTGCAATGTGGAAATCAGACTCCCACAGATTTCTGCTTCCTTTTCCAGTTAAAAGTACCAGACAGTTTTGGAACGTCCAGAGACTTTAGTAGAGAGCTGAGAACCTTAGAAAGCAATATTTTCTATTTCAGCCTGCAGATGTTTCTATGGAGTCTGTTACAATACCACCTAGATGGGAGGAATTATGCTAAGTGCTAAAAGTCATTCCCAAAGGTTGCATACAATTCTATTTACACGACAGCTTTGAAATGATAAGATTTCCAAAATAAGGCACAGAAAACAGGTTAGTACTAGGTAGCTGTAGATTAGTGTTGCGTAGTGTTGGTCCATTTGTAAAAGGGCAACATGAGAACTCTTGGTGGTGACAGGACTGTTCTGTATTTTGGCTGTGGTGGTGCATATTCAAACCCACACAAGAGACTGAATTGTACAGAACCAAATACATACCCGAGTACAAGTCAAAGAGGGGAAATCTGAATAATATCAGCATATCGTATCAACATCATTATACCCTGGTTTCAAGAGGTTACCACTGGAGAAACTGGATAAAGGGTACATGGGGTCTTTCTGATTATTTCATGTTACCAGATGTTAACCTGTAGCTATCTCAAAAATTTCAATTAAAAAATGCACTGTGGCTCAGCACGTTAAAATCCCAGCCTGCAGCACTGTAACCACTATGGGCACCAGTTCCCGTCCTACTCCTGGCTGCTCCTTTTCCAATCCAGCTCCCTTCTGGCATACCTGGGAAAGCAGTGGAGGATGGCCCGAATTCTTAGGCCCCTGCACTCACATGGGAGACCTGGAAGAAGCTCCTGGTTCCTGGCTTCAGATCCACTCAGCTCCTGGCTATTTGGGGAGTGGGCCAACAGATGGAAGATTCCCCCACCCCTGTAACTCTTTCAAATAAATAAAACACTTTTTAAAAATGAAAAGCAAAGAGATGGGCATTTGAGGCTTGTTAAAAACTAAGTAAAATTTCTACGGCCTCAAGGTGCTGACAGTACAGCTTGCAGAGGCAGAGCCATGATGTGCACA